ATCACTGATTACTCATAAGGTAAAAGAAACCGATTATATGTTATCGGCTGCAAATAATACTATTATTCGCACTTATGGAGACATAAAATTAACAATTAAATCTAAATCTAAGGAGAAAATTTGTTTGGAACTTTATCATTGCTGATGTTTCAACACCAATCTTGGGTGCAGATTTCCTGACGCATTATGGACTCATCGTTGACATCAAGAATTCCAGAATCATTGATGGAACAACTAATTTAAAAACAAAGACAGTTTGCAGAGGTACTGTCCAACAGCAAAGCATTAAAACGATCAACGTAACATGCAGATTTAGCAAAATTCTTTCAGAATTTCCAAATTTGACTAAATTATCTGGCCTACCACAAGAAATTAAGCACACGACGGTACATTACATCAAAACAACTCTTGGACCGCCTGTCAGATCGCAACCTCGTCCATTAAGCACAGAAATGTTAAAAATAGCTAAACAGGAATTCCAGGACATGATGCAGCTAGGAATAGCACGTCAAATAGCCCTTGGTCTTCACCATTGCATCTCGTTAAGAAAAAAGATGATGCATGAAGACCCTGTGGAGATTTTAGAATGCTGAACAATAGAACCATTCCTAACAGATATCCAGTGCGTTTCATATCTGATTACTAGCAGAATTTAGCGGGCTGCAAATTTTTTTCCATAATTGATTTAAAAAAAGCATACCAACAAATACCAGTATACAAAGAAGACATACCAAAAACCGCCATAACAACACCATTTGGATTATTTGAGTTTCTTTTTATGACCTTCGGTCTGAGAAATGCAGCTCAAACCTTCCAGTGTTTCATGGATAAAGTGACTCAAGGATTGGACTACTGTTTTCCATACGTGGATGATATTTTGGTTTCATCTAAAAACCCGGAAGAACACGAGCAACATCTTCGTTGTCTGTTCCAACGACTTACGGATTATGGTGTAGTAGTCAACGCATCCAAATGTAAACTAGGAGCGCCAGAAGTAAAATTTTTTGGTTATCATATCACAGAACATGGCACTTAACCACCAATCGAAAGAATAAGTGCACTACGAGCATTCCCGAAACCACGTACCATCAAATCTCTTCGTAGATTTCTGGGTATAAATAATTTTTATCGCAGATTTTGTCCAAACGCTGCACAATACCAAGCAGAATTACAATCTTTGTTATCTGGACCTAGTACTAAAGGAGCAACTGAAATAAAGTGGAACGAGAAACTCTCAGAAGCATTTGAAAAGTATAAAGCTAATCTAGAAGCAGCTACTCTATTAGCACATCCAAAGCCAGAGGCGCAACTCGCAATGTTCACCGATGCTTCGAACATATGCATTGGCGCCGTCTTACAACAACGGATAAATAATATCTGGGAACCACTCGCATATTTTTTCAAGAGGCTGGCCGAAAAGCAACAAGAATGGTCCGCATTTTATATAGCTAATAAAGCCGGTTATACATTTTTGAAATATTTTAGATACATGTTGGAAGGCCGCAATTTCATCTGGTTTAAAGATCATAAACCATTGACTTATGTTTTTCATCGAAAACAGGAACGCCTGCCTCCAATACAATTGAATCAAGTCATTTCTCAATTTACAACCGATGTTAAGCACGTTAACGAAGCAAAAAACATAACCGCTGATACATTTTCGAGAATCGAAGCAGTTAGCCGCCTTACAAACATAATTGAAATCGCTGAAGCACAAAAAGAGGACCAGGAACTAAAAAAATATCTGTTGAAAGAAAGTTCATTGCAGCTCAAAAGCCAAGCCATCCAAGGAACAACGCACAATATATTTTGTGACATATCACAACATTTACGAAGACCATTTGTTCCAGCAGCTTTAAGAAAGAAGATCTTTGACAACGTGCACAATCTAAGTCATCCAGGTGTTAGAGCAACAGTCAAAATGCTGACAAAACGCTTTGTTTGGCCAAATATACGGCGTGACTGCCGGACCTGGTCAAAGAATTGCATACATTGTCAACGCAGCAAAATAGTAGACATACAATCACCCCTTTACAAAAATTTGACGTTCCATCTGTAAGATTTCTACACGTACATATTGACATCGTAAGTCCTCTGCCAATTTGCAAAAGTGCGCGATATTTACTAACCTGCATAGATAGATACACCAGATAGATAGAAGTTTATCCACTATCAGACATAACTGCAGAAACTGTGACTTGGGCTTTTATTTTATATCCAGGTTCGGAATATCGGCAACAATAATAACCGACAGAGGAAGAGAATTCGACGGAGCGATATTCCGCAATATGGCACAGTTTTGTGGAACAAAACTGATTCATACGTCGTCATATCACCCGCAGTCCAATGGCCTCATTGAAAATATACACTGTACATTAAAGTCTGCCCTTATGTGCCACGAAAATGAGTCGTGGTTAGAAGCATTGCCATGATAAAGAATTCTAGCGCAGAACTCACCTTTGGAGAACCTTTGAGACTTCCAGGTCAACACCGGACATAACAATTAGGGTAGAGCGGGGCTAGTTGAGCATAGGGGCAAGTTGAGCAATCAAAATATCTCGAAAACTATTCACCGTTCGTTTAGGCATTGTATGGCGGAAAGATAGAGGTTTGGGTGAAATAAACATCCCGCGATCGCTAGTGGCCGCTAGACAAATGAGTGAGGCTCATGGGCGTTTTGTTTATTTTGAGACCAAAATGTAAAAAAGTAATTCATCACGAGTTTTTGTCTGGTTTAGTCAATTGTTGTTTATTTTTAATCAGGTAAATGTTATTCTTCCATATAATTATAGTATTTTTAATATGCATAGAGATGCTGGGTATAATTTTCACGTTTTTTTTTATAATCTCACTTTTATTTTGAAATTTCGAGTTGGGGTTAGTTGAGCATAGTTGCTAAACTTATTCTGTCACTAAGACAATTACCATTAACTTCCAGAAATTAATTATTATTTTTAAGATTTAGGCTAAGTCTATGAGTAATAATATA